TGCATTTTCTTCCACCAAATACAACTTCATATCTTCAACCACTTGATCAGGGTATAATAAGATCATTCAAAGTAATTACTTTTTTTTCAAATAAAATTTTCTTTCCCGTTTAAATAAAAAAATTTACCTTTTTATTTTTTCTATATTAGGCTCATTATAGGAAATTATTATGTGAAGACAGAATTCAAGCATTCGATGAACATCAAGAACTTGATATTGAGATCCCTAAGTTGAATATTTTGAACGCAATTAATTGGACTGCACAAGCATGGAATAGTGTTACTGATGATACAATATACCGTTGTTGGCAAAGAACAGGTATTTTACTTGAAGAAATGTATGAAGAAGAAATGTATGAAGAACCAAATGAATTAGAAAATGAATTAGAAAATGAATTAGAGAGTGAAGAAAATGCAGTCCAATTACTTATCAGTCAAATGAATATTGATATCATGGCAAATAATTATATTAATATTGATGACAGAATAGAAATTGCTGAAGTAGTTGAAGAAGAAGAGATAATTGCTGCGGTACAAGTGGCACCAGAAGAAGAAGAGGAGGAGGGAGATGATATAGGTAATCCAATATCAAATACAGTTGCGTTGGATAGCATTCAAAATATATTTAATTATTTGCAGCAAAATGCAGATATAAAAATAAATAATTCATTAATCTCGGGAATGAAAAACCTGCAGCATCAGATTAGAAGAAAGCAAAATGCCTCTCTAAAACAACTTACCTTGGAAAGTTTTTACAAAAAATAATTCTATGTATATGTTATTTCATAATATTCTTAGTATATCATTTTTATAAAGAGTTTGTATCACTTATTACATATATAAATAAAAAAAAATTATGAAATTTGATAAGTCGGATTTCTCGATAAGTCGGACAGATGAGTCCTCCCCACCATGTCCGACTTATCGAGTTTACATGTGTATGTTTTATTATTACAACAGAAGCAACATGGTTCAAATAATAAGCAAGTTTTTGTGATAAAGTATAAGAATAAGATATGGCTTGATCATCTACAAAATTATTACTATTATTATAATTATTATTACTATTACAATAATCGGGAAATCTGTAAACGGACATTTCAAAATAAAAATATCAAATAAATAAATTACCTTGATCTTTATTTTCGATTTTTATAATGTATATAGCATTGGCCTGAGAACCGTTTCCAAATTTCCCAAGCTTTTCAAAAGTTTGCGGGAAATTCCATAAAATTTGTTTTTAAATCATTTTCTTCGGCTCTTAGAAGTAATGATAAAGGCTTGTTGAGATACTCTTGTTTAGGCTCAAAAATTTGTGGAATTTGTTTATTGGTACCAGTTCTGTTAAAATTTTAATTTGTTTTTTATAATTTAGTTAAATAAAATAATCCATATTTTAATAAAAGCTAGAGTGATAATAAGTGGTGATAACCACCACCATTCTTAACATAAACACTTACGAGCACGCGGCACCAAATTCGTCCGTTCTTCTTTTTTTTATAACTAGAGTGACGATGCGTGGCAATAACTACCATTCTTATGATAAACAGTTTCCTAGCCAACGCATCTCCACAATCAGTTACTTTTATTTTTTTTCTTGTTAGTAGCAACAGTCGTTCTGTTAAAATTTTAATTTGTTTTTTATAATTTAGTTAAATAAAATAATCCATATTTTAACAAAAACTAGAGTGACAATAAGCGGTGATGACCACCACCATTCTTATCATAAACACTTACTTGCAAACGGCACCAAAATCACCTGTTTTTCTTTTTTTTATAATTAGAGTGACGAAGAATGGCAATTAACTACCATTCTTATAATAAACCACAATGAGTTACTTTCCTTTTTTTTTATTATTTTTAAAAAAATAACTGAGTGATGACGAGTGGCGATAATCACCACCACCATCCTTATGATAAACACTCACTCATTTTGCACCTTATCATTTTCTTTATTTCTTTTGGTGCTTATACATTTTTTTTTTAAAAAAGATAAAAAGATAATTATTGATTTGATCGACATGTACACACATTAATTATTTATCCTATTGGTTTTTTTTTTGATAATTATTAATACGTAATATATAATAATAATTATAATATTATAATTACAAGATATCACGGCAGCACGACTGACTGTTGCAGAAGAAACATTTTGATTATCAGAAATTTTAGAGATATTGAAGCACTCGTGTACCTTGAACACTTTACAGTCATTCTCACGTCTTCCCTCATGTACACAAGGTCAATATGACTACGTTTCTCCTGATGCCGATAAGTTAATAATATTCTTAGTATTTTATCATATAGTCTAAAAGCCTATTAGTAAATATTAAAAGTGCTAATATTTAACAGATATTCTTCTAAAATTAATCCTATTTTTAGTTAATTCTTGGCTTAATTTAATAAACCAATAGCTCTTTTATATTGCAATTAAGTTATTGGTTAAATATTTCTAAAGCTTCTTGTGCTAAAATAATGGGGTTTCTATTTGAATAAGGTTTACTCGAATAAAACAAATAATAAAACAAATAATTCAACTAAAAAATAATTCGAATAATTCGAATAAAAACGAGTAATAATAAAGCAAATAAAGCAAATAAAGCAAATAAAGAAAATAAAACGGGTAATAATAATTCAAATAAAAGTAAATAAAGCAAAATTTGTATTATGCATTAATATTAAAATCAAAAAAACAACAATAAACAAACAAACAAATAACTTTTATTGCGAAACAATAATTTTGTTCCTTTGGTGCCAGTGATTGAATCAATCACACAGGTAATAGTCAATTTAAACAGAACTGTTTTTAAAGAAAATAATATTATTAAATGTTGCAAATTTTTTTGATGTCAATCTCAAAATCAATCATGTTTAAGTTTCTTTTGATAAATAATAAAATTATCCTTTGTTTATTTGCCTTAATAGATTCAAATAGATTTTATTAAATCAAAAATGATACACTACAGCAAAGTTTCAGAGAACCCAAGTATATCAATTACACGAAAACACACTATTAAGTTAACTTAATACAAAGTCACTTTTAAAGTATAGCGAATTCTTGTTCCTTATGTGAATGTTTAATTAATTAATATCCCAGTCTGGGCGAATTATCCCATTTGGGATTATTGCCATTAATTACTTCACTATTGTCAAAATATTGGGTCAGCAAAACTACTTTAGCCCTTCACGCGGCAAGCAAATGTCAAAAACAAATAAATATACGGAATGTAATACCAATATATTAATATAATAAAAATAAAAAAAGATTACTCCGGGATTATAGTATTTTCAATTAGCTAATTAATGTCAAATTCAAATCCCGTTAACACATAATAAATGGATCACAGCATGTATGTACATATTATTCACGATATTCTCATTTCTTTTCCCTTTTTAAATACTTACCAATCATAATTTCACCCATTCAAAAATGAAAATGATATATTTGTAAAACTAAAGCTAATATATAAAATATATATAAAGAAAGATTCGTAGTTTTTTATGCAAACAATTTCTTTATTTGTATTTCTTAAGTCAATATTGACAAGTTTTTTGTAATAAACTGAACACTGACATGACTTTTCATTATAAAAACTGAACACAGACTTTTTGTCTATTCTTAATTTAACGTTTAATTAAATAAATAATCATTTTTATTGTATGGTTGGCTCGGTCTAAAGACCTCTTATTGCTGCGCCACGCGCTCAAATTTCAAAAATTGTGATTTTGTGATTCGTTCAAAAATGCAATAAAATTTTTTAAA